ACTTAATGATTATCCTAATTATATTTTAGATTTTTTATATTTAAAATGAGATGTTTATCCTGTATTTGATTGTGTTTATTTGCAGTTAGTTACACGAATTCAGATATGAGATAAAATCAGATAGGGATGAACGGGTTTAAGAGTTTAAGAGTTTTTAAAAGTTTTAGTCAAATGCTTTATAATATAGCATAGATAATTAATTGTGTAATCTCCAACACAGATAATGAGTTGGATATGAAAGTATTTTTTTTTAATTTTTTTGAGATGTTGACTTTTTACTTCTCCGTTATCAATAAGTTGTTGGAGATGCTCTTAGGTTAAATTACATTTCTGTCCCTTTTGTTCGTCAATGGTAATGGAATTTGTCTCTACAATTTTTTTTCATGGATTTTTCTTCTATGTTAAATTCAGGCAAATGAGGATCATCTTGGTCATTATATCATGCTCATATATGTCGGGAATCATCACTTACTCATGAACAACGGGAATACTTTTGGTCCTCCACTTGTAACTCCATATATACCATACATCATAAATCCCACTACCTACGACTCCATCTCCAACACACACATACACTCACCGCGCCCTCCATGCCTAATCGATGCTTTTTCCTTTTCTCTCATCACTTTCACCATTCTCGACGACCTCCCGTGACATGAGACCCACTCTCACACTGTACTTCATCTACCTTTTGTCATAGACGGAACTAAAGGGGTGGTTAGGTGGCACGTGCCACCACATTGTTCCTCTGTGGTAAGGTAAAAAAAAAAGGTTCGTGAAAGGTGCAACCGTTTTATATGGTGTCACCATATCCAAAAAAATTTGGGTCCGTCCCTGAATTTGTTGCCTTCCACCTCTGTGGCTCTCTCTATTGTCGCGATTAAGACTTAAGAGTACTCATTAAATAATGCTTAAAATGTTATATCTTGAAGCATGATTTATATGTAAGATAACGATTATACATGTGAATTTGATTGTCGAACTATAGGAACTTTGTGATTATTCAAATATAAAAAGGGTTGGTATAGAGTAATTTGAAAAATGAAGGGGGTAAAAGTGAAATATTTGTAAATCGAGATAATTTACTGGTACATATGGGAAGGAAGCCGGAAGCGTTTGCTGTTTCTAGGGTTTATAGTTTCCGCGGCGGCAGAGACACCTATAGACCAGAATCAATCATGGTAATTTTGTGAACTTGTTCTTTTCTTATTTCTGCAATCTCTTCGATCTGTCATGCCTGTTAGAGCTATAAATTTTGGTGATTTTGATTGTATTTGATGGTTGCAGCCGTCGCACAAGTCGTTCATGATTAAGAAGAAGTTAGCGAAGAAGATGAGGCAGAACAGGCCTATTCCTCATTGGATCCGTATGCGCACCGACAACACCATCAGGTACAATGCTAAACGCAGGCACTGGCGCCGCACCAAGTTAGGGTTTTAAATTAAGTATGATGCTATTTTTGTTGATCTGTTCTGATTTACAGCAGAAGTTGTTTTACTGTTCGATTATGTATTGTTTTAACATTCCAATTTTGAGACAAAAACTATGTCTTTAGCTTCTTGTTAGAATGCTGTTCAATATCTACGTAATTTTATATTGAAGTCCTGGTTCTATAATTTATTAGAATGAGTGGAGCTCGTGAAAGCTCAATCATAGGTGTGTTTGTGTGTTCACGATTGCTAAGCATCTTATTGGATGCAGTAGGGCAAAATGTTCATCGAGCTTGGATGATACTTTTTAACTGTTATATGTTCTTTGTGTGCAACCTACTGCCTGTGATTTAGAAACACACATAAATGATCGGACTCCTTTTCTTGAAACTCTTTTTGTGCTCTTTCAATGTGTACTACTAGAATTCTGAATTGAACATCGTCAGGATCGAAATCTTCAAACACTCTTTGCATTTCTTTTTGGATGTTCTTACTGTACATGTGCATTAGCATGCTGCAGTGCACTTGCTATGTTTTAGTTGTTAATTAACAATTATAAGATTTACATCCAATTTTATTAATCTGTAGTGGCTCTTTACTGGACGTATTTGATTAGTGTAAGGTTCAAATAAGTAGGTTAAGTATTGTCAGAATGTAGGAAGGGAGGGATATGGAAAGGTTCAAATGTGAGTAATGTGACTCGTTGAAAAAATCTGAAAAAAATCTATTTGAAGATGCATGTATGAACCGACATTAGAAATTTATACAAGGGTTCACATATGCATCTTCAAATAGATTTTTTCAATGATTCACATATGAAACTTCCCTTCTTACCTTCTCACGATATTTAGCTTCTTATTTGAACCTGCCCTTACTTGAGTATTCACTTATAACACAACTAATATAACAGCTCTGCTAAGCTTGTTTGATAGCAATAATGATGCACACCTATGATTTGCTTGTTGATGTAAGTTTACTCGCCTGTAGCAGACTGCATTGATCATCTCTACAGAGCTTATTAAGACTTTTTAACTGCTTTGAATAAGTCAAGAGTAAGAATTGCACTCTATGACCACCTTGGGTTGGGTGGGTGGGCGGGAGGGGGAGCATGACTTTGGTTGAAAGCATATTTTTGAAGAAAATCAATTGGAAACCAGTTTCGAAGATATTGAGAGAATAGAAATGGGATACCCATTGCTACATTGTAATGTTTTCTTCCCATCTGCGCTGCAGAAGTGATTTGTTATGTAGTCATGGTCCACCAGATTTGTGTTTTAAAAATTTAGGATGTGGAGAAGGCTCAGTGGTTGAATCCTGGATCAGGGTTTTGGGATTTGGAGGAGGGTTCTTGGTAGCCATCTCTCCAACCCTCCTCACCCCCAAACAATTAGCCTCAAGAACTCCAGCCTCCTCGGATTCCCAGTCCATGATGGCAACGGGCCGATATTCTAGCAACACATAGACCACCACGTCATTTCTTCATTGCACAATGGATAAAAAACGTATATATAGTTGATGTTGCATAATGGATGATTGCATGCCACATGAAACCCTTTTATTAGACGTAAAACTCCTTTTGGATATCAAAGAGACCATTGAAAAATTACAGTTATCGTCACAATATAAGTAATTGTTATATATATTGGTATTTAGGTTTCTTCTTGTTATTGTCTTTTTAGTAAATATAATGCAAAGGGAATGATGTCTGGTTATGTGGCATTTTTATAGGTGCTGTTCTTGTAAAATGTTTATTCTGTTCTTCCAATGAAAACACGGGATTGTCGAGTTGTTTGTTTTTTTAACATTCCAATCAATAATCATGAAATGTATTTGTATTATTTTTAAGAATAGAAATGGAAAATAAAATAGACATATCTGTTGGGAGAAGCCAATGGATGACGTTAGATGAAAGTTATGGGGAAAAAAATCTTGTACCATGATCACCTGGTATGATCGAAGATCACGCATGGTCAGATTCAGTTACATCATTAATATATATATATATATATATATATAATATCATGTGTGCCTGAAAATCAAAGTTGGATGTAGAGACTGATATCTAATTAATGTGGAGAGATGGGTAGAATTTGGGGGTTTTGTCTAACATAACCAATCACTTATTGATCGAAATACTAATATTCAAAGTAGACATTTCTATGAACTATGTGGCACACATTTCTATGTGGTTTGGTTGCGTGAGTAAATGAAGTTTGGGAGCATGTTGTCCACGTAGACGTTACCAAAGTAGCACTAATGTTGCTTTTTCTAAATATTATACTCCTTTTGTATCAAATTAAATATTCATTTTTCTATTTATATTTATTTCAAAAATAAGTGTGTACTTTCAAAAGTAAATAATCAAACTCTCAAATTTACTTTAATTAATGCAAAAACATTTAAGAGTTGTGAACAAGGATATGTTAAATAAGGGTAAGGATGTCAATTTGGTTAACCAAAAAGTTTTATAATTATAAAAGTATGTGTCATTTCAACCATGGACACTTATTTTGGGACATAGAGAGTATTTAAGAAAAGCGGGTTATGCAAGTTGGACAAGAGCGCCTCAGTATGCTATATTTTCTCCTCTTTTAGATTTAGAGATTTCTCCATTCTCGCTTATATTTTTATCTATTTTATATGAGAGTTTAATATAACTGTTGCAGCAAACTTTTTTTAAATATCATAGTTGGTGGAGATGTTCGAAGCGTCACCTGCGTCTTGACTATTTCGATTAATAAAAAGTGGCTATGAAGTTAAAAGGAATGGTCAGATCGGATATTTTAAACAATTTCTGTTAAATTTAAATTGTGGAACCTTTTAAATAACCTTTTATTTTAGACCTCCTACCTCCCAATCCCATTGTGATTGTTATTAATCATGTTATTTGCCAACATCACCTACTTTGTGGTTATGATGTATTTTGAACCATTTTTGAGAGATGAAGTTTTTTATGCCCCTCTATGATATGTTAAGGTTAGGGTTAGGGTTAGGGTTAGGGTTAGGGTTAGGGTTAGGGTTAGGGCTAGGGTTATTTAGGGTTTGGGGGTTAGCCTAAAGGGTTAGGTTTAGGGGTCTTAAATACATATTATATAAAGGAACACCAACTTCTTATCAAGTGATGCTTTAGTTAATTTATTTTATCCATAGATGAAAGTTTAGATAAAACTTGTAAAATAAAGACTTTTTTTTTAATGAAATACAGTAAAAAAAAATGATAAAAGTTAAATTTCTATTTTATGTAGATTTTTTTCTCTAATAATAAAACAAAGTTCTAAACTTTTTTATTTAGTGTAATATAACTCCAAGTTGATAATCTTTACTGATTTTGTAATATTTAATAATTTGTATATCAAGTTTATTGTTTATTTTATTGAAATTTTTTGTAAATTAGTTTTTGTGTCATTAAATAATATATTAATACAAAATTTGAAAAATCAACTAGAAGAAAAATTGTTCGTTACACTAAATAGTAATTAAACCAAACTTATTGTATTTTGATACACCGTATAAAATTTATCAACAAATTTATAGTTTTTTAAATTATTTTTTCAAGAAAAAAACTATAAATCTTATTATATAAATTATTTTATTTTATCCAATAATAATTTTGTTGACAATTTAATGTTAGCTTGATTTAAGTTTGATATATATATTTTAATCAAAATGACCATTTTAGAGCTTTTCTTAAATACTTGACATACTTATTTCTTAGGAATTTGCATCTGAAAATACCAATCTTTCCTTTTTATTTCTCAAAAAAAAAAAAAATTATAAAACATTGCATGGTTTTTAATTGCCTTAAAAGACGGTCCTGATTTAATTTGAGTGAGCCAAAAAAATACCGTCTTTAAAGATGGATTTTATATCTAATAAATCTTAGAAAAGTAAATATAATGTATATATCTAAGGGTTGTGAGAGTAGAAGTGTTTTGATCATTACAATTTTATAGATAATACTACAAGATATATATATATACACACACACTACATTTGGTCCTAAAAAAACAAAACACCAATGAAAATCACTCTCGATGTCTCGTCAAATCATCATTGATGTGTCAAATTGTTGCGTCATAAGTTGTTTTCACTATAATACGGAATAGAATGAGGGCATTTTAATATATGTCAGATATAATATCTGATTTTTGTTTCCCAAATGAGGGCGATTTAATACACGTGGTACCGATTTGTACCTTATAGTCAAAATCGCTCTCCAGAGACGATTTTGGTGGTCATTTTATAAAAGATCTTTAAAAAGTGATCATTTTATTAACAATACCATGTATAAAATGACCATTTTAAGTAATTTTCTTTATAAATAAACTAACATAAATAATACATAGATAATTTTTTTCTTTCATTATTAATTGAATTACTGTTATTTTATCTATCAATCCAAATAAAACAATTTGTGAGGGAAAAAAAAGAGTACGGAACGGTGGATCCTGATCCTGATCCTGAAATTGAAGAAGAAGATGAAGATGATGATGATGATGATGGTATCATATCATATGATCAGAGCAGCAGAAGCTAAAATCCAAATCTCCAATCATCCATTTTTATGTGGAATCTCATCTCAACTCAACATCATGTGCAATCCCATTTCATATATACAATTATTTCCCTTTTTAAATACTCATATAACAACCCTCACTTTTATCCACGTTTTCTATTCAAATCAACAAGTAATATTCCTTACGGTGCCTCAATTGTCTAAAACCATACATGTCTGCTGATGTATAACTACTTTGGTAAAAAATGGAATGATTTTGTCTCGATATAAATCTCAAAGATCTGATTTAATTCAGAATCATTACCATCATTAGTCACTGAATGAACCAAAAAATTAGAGAAATTGACAAAAGCAATCGTCCCATCTGACTCAATTCACCTTATAGAATCTTTTAAAAGTAAAATACCTACACAAAAAGTGTGGGCAAAAAAGAAATTGTGTAAAGATTGGTTTCAGTTACATTTTATACCATTATAGTTAGTTATTTAATTTACTTTATTTATAACCTTATTTTTTTTTTCACCTTTGTTATATTATCATACATAAACCATATATTAATTAAAATGCTTCTAAAAGATACATCTCTTTTTTGACAAATTGTATAAATATAATCGTCTCGTCTCGTCAATACCAATATTGAATATTTTTGAATTTTATCATATTATTAAAAATAATAAATATATAATAACATTATTTTTAATATTTGTATTTTATACCTTTATAGTTACAAATTAAAATAGATAAGTATAAGGATATAAAGTAGAAATACTAAAATAACTTTTACCTATTTTTGATTACAAGTAATATGATTAAATTCAAAAATATTCAATATCAGACTCATTTTAAAGATATTGACTAGACGATTGTAATTATATAATTTGCAAAAGAAAAACGTAATTTTTTAATGTATTTTAGTTAATATACGATTTATATGTGATAAAGATGTAAAATCAAAAATGAAAAACCAATAATATAAAGTAAATTAAATAACTAATTATAAGAGTGTAAGAATGTAATCGAAATTCTAGAATGATTCATAATGGGTTATTTTATAAGAAATAGAATAAAAAGAAATGGTATGTTTGTTGGGTAAAGTAATGTTTGACATAAAACCATGTTATTATTGAGTGAATTAATTAGCAACATAATCCATGTTTCATGGCACACCATTTTAGATCTACAACACTTCAATTCAAATCATGTGATAAAAAACTTGTAACATGCCTTGTCCCCCTCCTTTTTCACTTATAATAATATCTCCTCCATATGCCAACCACAGCAACTTTAATAATTTATATCTCATCATCTTTTCTGAATATATACAATGTTATTTTCAAAAAAAAAAGTGAAATATTCTTTTATTAACCTGAATATCTAACCCATTATACGACCCGATTAATTATAGGACGACCATCTACTTTGCAGGTAGCCCGGAGTTATTGCATTTGAACCTTTGTGACCACAAAGAGATTTTTATTCTATTTTAGATTTGAACAAAGGACTTACAGATACTTTTGACCTTTTGGAGTTCAAGCTAAAACTAATCAAGCACCATGATTGTGGTAAAAAAAATCCTATTAAACACAAAATTTTACTCATCACATAAGTTTGTTGTCTACTAAAGGAATGTTTGATTGATTTTCCATCAAGTCATGTATGGATAAAGTTGTCTTTATACATTAATTTGTCTGTATAGATTGAAAAAGTTTTTGATTGAGAAGTTTTTTTTCATAGATGGAAAAAACATGTTTTTTAATTGGGAAATACATGTTTTTGGAAGAAAAAAAAACTTGTCTTTCTACATAGAACTCAAGCTTGTTGAATAAACCATTTTTTATATTATTAAATTGTCATATATAGCTGACTAAATAAACTGTTATTAAAATACAAGAGACTCTAGACAATCCATGATCCTTCTTATTGTTATTTAATGTTGCATTTATTTTAATACAACACTTAGAAACATGTTGATGCACATGGTGATTTGGGTAGGGGAGAGAAGTTAGGTGTTTGATGGTGTCATCATGTGCATACAACAACAATAATACACATTTAATCACTACTTTTGACTTGCTCCAGAACCACATTAGTCAAAACACAAACAAATCATGCATATATGACTTGTACCTCATGCAATCAGAGTAGTACTTACATTTCAACTAAAAGGAAAATTCCAGGAAATGATGAGTACATGCATGCATGCATGCATACACCACTTGTACTGTCATATAAATCATTGTACCAGAAGCAACAATAGGTACATGGATGCACATGAAGAAAGTAATGCATATCTTTAAAGGAATGGCATAAAGAAGATGAGAGATTTGGCATCTAATGCATTTCTAGTCTGGTGTACAACCTCTAAAGTAAATATACTGAGGCAAAAGTACAATTAAGTACCTGCACTACTATTCTAACTTCATCCCTTTTCCATATCAGACCACATCCAATGGTCCCATTTAACCACCGGTACAGTTTCTTGATTTCCGATGATACTGCGGGCAGATAAAGCTTCATAGGGGTGTGGACCCCATGAAGCGTATTCGCCATGTCATTCAAGATTACCGGGGACAGATAACCATATGTTGCGTATGTTTAACATTTGGTTAACCCAAATGCACCGATAGCAGAATTACATAGAGTCTAAAGAAATGCACATGGCAAAGGATAAGCACGAAACATTCAAGTGAAGCCAGACAATTAGGGTATGTTTGTTAGGAGCTTGAAGAGATTAATGGGACGTTTATCTTATTTGATCGGCTATACGTAATTGTTTGAAAGTAGTTTAATGTTATAGAAAGTGGCTTATTTAGTAAGCCACTTTCGGAGAGCTTTATGTAGAAAGTCAAGTCTTTTCAAGACCCACCCCTCCCAATTAAAAAGGATGCTCCTTTCATCTATGAAAAACCCTTCAAAACAAAAATCTTCTCAATCTATACAGACAGATTAATCTACACTGACAACTTTATCCATACATGACTTAATGAAAAACCAACCAAACAACCCCATTAATTTCATATGGGATTTAAGTAAGCATCAAGGCTAGGCCCTTCTTTTCTAGCTGAACAACCTTTACTGCATGAAGTACAATTCTTGGTTGCTAAGGAAAAGGGAATTGCCTAAAAGATGCATATGCATGCATTTCATTTCCATTAAATGACCTGAGAGAGACTGAGAAGATAGTCAAATTACTGATTCAATCCACCAGAAAAATGAAAGCTTTTGACAGAATGAAGAATATGAAAGGAGGCAAGACGTTCCTTAATGAGGGGTAGTTTGGTCAAATTGGAAAAGTGCGGGTTTTGCAAAAGGGGTTTAGAAGTTGAAATTGCCAGTGCATACATGCAATTTACTATAAACTTGTATCATCTGACAAACTCCACATGAAGAAGCCAGACAACAGACCCTACCCACATTATTTGTCCACATGGAGAAGTGGAAGGCCAGTGCAGATCTGACCCACAAACTCTCTTCTCTATCTCTAGAATTGTAAAATATTATATAAAAATGACAGCAATTTTCCCTCTCATTCTTAAAATTTGACACCCAATTCAATTCCCCCAAAATAATTGCACAATGCTTCCATATATTCCACCAAATCCCCTTCTAAACCTCTAGCAGTCTTTCCTTTGAGGGCCAAAAAGCAACAGACTATAAATTTTAATTTGAACACAAGAAAGGAAAGCATCTTTGTGATTTCAATCCAATGATCTTTTTTCCAATAAGATCTTCAAGTCTTTGATTGCTTTTTAGTAGAAGAAAGAAGCAGCGGTGATGCAAATGTCTACTAAGGAGGTTGTGTATACCTTAAAAGATGATAAACAAGAGCTACAGAAGCAATTAGGATGCATGAATGGAATTTTTCAGCTCTTTGACCGACGTTACCTTCTTGGTCAACGCCGCCATGGCCATAACCAGAAGAGGTTACCTCCAGGTACCATAACCATCTTCTTGTTCTTGTATGTGTGTGCCTTCTTTTCATTCTTTTTCCCTGTTCATCTGCAAACCCTTGATCATCACGAGCTTATATCTATATCTATCTATCTATATATGCCATCTAAAACAAGTAGGTGATAGAAGTACAATAGATACCCATCAACTGTTTACAAAATAGTTCCATGAAATTTATAAGGCAGCAACATGTTTCATGATAATTATATTTGCAGAAGACTCTTTTAACAATAAGTTGACAAGTGCATACATGGAAATTCATTTTGTTGAACCAAGCTAATAAGATTTTAAGAAGCTTATTAAAAAAGATATTGTTCTTGATGTCTGCATCAGTTTACATGAACTACTACTATTAGCAGTCTTGTAAATTGTAAGATATCGTATGTGCATATGATCATCATATGTTTAAACATTTTGGTTTCCGATGTCTTAACGAACTGCCAATCACTCTTTAGGTCAAAGTGACAATGGTGAAAAAGAGTTCAGCAATGAATCAGAGCAAGCTAAGGTAAGACCAAGACTTGGATTTAAGCTCCAGAAACAACTTGAACCTTTTTACCACATATGAACTTAAGCGAAATGCTAGTCAATAAGTTTTTCTGGTCATTCTACTTGCTAAAATGCAACAAAAGACCATTGAAATTTGCCTAAAATTGCTCCTCTTTTTTGCATTTTAGCAAGTATATAGTTATTTTGCCACGAAATTACAAGTATGATAGTTAAAAAGATTGATTCACTTGTGGAAATACTAACCGATACCTGATTTTCGGTTGCTTACAGGAAAAGAACCCGAAGGTAGTCACGAAAGAGAAGCACCGAGTCTCTATCGAATCATCAAGAAACTCATTTTCCTCTTCTAGCTCGTCTACCGCCTTGTCATCTTTAGATTGTAGTAAGAGAGTTCAAACAGAACAATCCTCTTCTTGCCAAAGTGTAGTCTCTGAACCCTATTCATCTCCATCCTTGCACAGAAAACCGCCAGATTTGTTTATACAATCACCTGATATCAGGGATGTAGTCAGAGACTCGATGACCAGAGAACCTCGAGTGGTATCGATTAAAACTGCAGCAAAAGAAGAAAGAGCGGGCCCTGCAATGAAGTATGTTGATTCCCCAAGGCCATTTCCATACCAAAAACCCATTCAATATGATGGAAACAATCAAATCGCTAAGCTGAGGGGAATCCCATGGGCAGTCAAGGAAGTAAAGGAGATATCACGGTTCTCGTGTGACGAAAGGGAATCACGATATCTGTTGAAATCCAATATGAAGGTCAAAGAGCTTCCAAGGTTATCTTTGGACAGCAAGCAAAGCTTTATCAGTAATTCTGTCAATGAACCAAGAAGAAGCTTGCAAATAAGACAAATTCAAGGGGGTGGTGACACAAAGTCCCCCGCAAGCCAAACCCACGAGTCAAGAAGTAATAAGCGGCCATCATCGAGTGTTGTGGCAAGGTTGATGGGTTTGGAAACTTTAACAGCCTCCATTGATGAAAGTGAGGCCTTGAAGACTAAGCCCTGCTTAAGTGAAGAATTGGTCTCGGACTCAAGATCATCAAGAAAGGAAGAATTAAAGCACGACCGTAATTCTACTTCACCAAGGGTGGGCAGGAACCAAATCTCACGTCAAAAGGGAGTCAGTAATGTAATTACAAGAATACCAATGGAAACAGCACCATGGAAGCAGGAAGGTAGTGCTCGAGGCTCACAGAAGCCAGTCAAGAATAAGGAAGCTCAAGCAAAAACTGAAGCTGCTTCCCCTTCAGTTTATGGTGAGATAGAGAAACGGTTGACTGAACATGGGTTTAAAACAGCAGGGAAGGATCTCAGAGCCCTTAAGCAGATACTAGAAGCAATGCAAAAGACAAGAAAGAGGTTAGAAGACAAAGACCATGCATTGGACAATAGCAGCATTGATCATAGGCAGAACCAGAAAAGTGATCAACCAGTTTCCCCCACCATCAAGGGGATTAATCCTCCTAGGAAACTTGAATTCCTGAATGGGAATGCGAAACCCGCCAAGCTAACTTCAGATTCCATCATGATAACAGATATTCAGACAGTCAAGAATGCAGAGGCCAAGAAAGATTCGGTTGGTAGGCAACGGTTAATAGATCCAACTCTGAGAGATAGGAAGGCAACTGGTAGACCACTGTCAATTTCTAACTTTCCAGAGTACCTGCCTGGAGAGAAATCCACCAGTTCAAGATATTCTGGAACTCTGAGCCCAAGAATGCAAAGATCAAAGAACGGTATAGACAAACCATCTATTCATGGACCATCATCTGATTGGAGCAGGACCAAGAAGCAACCCAGTATGCAACGCACCCAATTAGGCTCAACGACCAGACAACTAAAGGCAAAATCCATGGATCCACTGCAAGAGAGTGAGCAACTGTGTGGATGCAATAGTAAAAAAAGAAACTTTAGCCAACAGAGTGATACAGTTTCCTTCCAATCAGAAAGCAATAGCCAGGCTTCACAAAATGATTCAGAAGTCATGAGCACCGAGTGGATCCAAGAGGTCGATAGCGCATTTCGGCCGAAGGAAAACCGCAGGGTGAGTGAGCATACTTCATAATAGATACAAACGTGTACACACCCGTACACACACACACACACTCACCAGGTGAAGTCACTTGAATTTATATTAACTTTTCAACATGTGTCATCTTTCCCCAGGGTAATAACGCTGAAAGGTTGACTGAAGACAGGCCAATGGCTGACCATGCCAAACATACCATGGAACAACCCAGTCCTGTCTCTGTTCTTGATGCATTCTACACAGAGGACACGCCATCTCCAGTAAAGAAGAAATCTAATGCTTTTAATGGTACGTTTTCCCTTACCTACCTTATTTCTGTTATCTCTCATACAATGCACCTGCTCACAAGATCTGATGCATGCCCTAGTATCGGCCTGTGAAATCAAGGTTATTCGATGCATGCTGGTTGATGAGCTAAGCAGCTAGTAAAGAGTAGATTTGTGCAAGAACATATATATACGAATTAATCAAGCATTGCATTCACAGTATATTCACATGTTAGCAACTGCTGATAGCACTGACACACGCAATTCTTATCATTTTGAATGAAACAAGAAAATTCGGCAGTCCAATTGTTATTAAAAAATGAATTCACCTGCTTTAATTTTGTATAGTGTTGGCAGATAATATAAATATATTCTAATACCATTATTTTGCTGATGAAACTTGTTCCCTCTTTCTCATCTCAGATGACGAGAATTTACGCTTTGAAGAACCACAAGATCACGCAAAGATCTATGACTTGGCTAACAGCACAAACCTAGATCAGTATTGTGAGTTCAATAGTGTAAAACTCGCAAACATAAACAGCCTAGTTCATAAAATTGAATTATTGAACACCAATGCTGAAGCTGCTACTGTCAATCACACTGCAACATCTCCATGTAAGAGTGAAACTGGAGATCATTATTACGTGAAGGAGATACTATTTGCCTCGGGATTCTTGAAAGATCTGGACCGCACCACCACATTAGTTCATATTCCTCTAACAGGAAATTTGATCAACCATGAGTTATTCCATGTTTTGGAGAAAACCAAAGGACACACAGATCTCGCAGATGATGAATACCACAAAAAGAACACGCATTCAAAATCCAATGAGAAAATCAGAAGAAAAATGGTATTTGATACTGTGAATGATGTTCTTGGCCACAAATTAGCCATGCTAGGTCCTTTTTGGCCATGGACCAATAAACATAATGGGAGGATTCTGAATGGAGACAAGCTACTGAAAGAACTGTGCTCAGAAATAGACAGACTCCAAAATAACTCAGAAACAGGCATATATGATGAGGATGATGAAGTGATAAACATCATAAACGCAGATGTGAATAAGAGGTCACAAGCTTGGGATGAGCACTGTTATGAGGTTCCAGGTCTAGTGTTGGATATAGAGCGTCTGATTTTTAAAGACTTGGTTAGCGAGGTTGTGAATGCTCAGATAACCAGTCTGCAAGATTGGCCAACGAGGCATCGTAGGCAATTGTTTCCCGTGTAGAAGTTAAATCTTGCTCCCTCTTCCCGTCATCCTTCTCTTCCCTTTTCTTTATCTTTTGCTGGCTTTAGAAGCACAACTTTAGATTAGTGAGTGAAAGCAAGGATCTGCAAAGCAAAAGTGTAACTTCGAATGCATATAAAGTATAATACAAAACTAACTGCAGTTATGTATATATCCTTTGCTGCAAACTATTTCCCGCAGTATAGGTATGCCCTTGTGAGTTCCCTCAACCGGGTCCAGAAATAGCTTATCTAGAGAAGAGAATCTATATGTTCTTCTCACTTTTTAGATCAATAAAGATTTCTCTTTGAATGGCCAAAACGTACATACAGAAATCTTTCTGAACAACAATGAACATGCAAAACAAATGCACAATTGACGTGAGATGTATATTGATTTTTCTAGTTAAGAGGTTTCCACAGGCATTTCCCATGACTAAATAATTTTATTAAGATGCTGATAACTATGTATGCTTCGTCAAAGGAGAAAAAAATACAAAAAATAAGGCATGGTTATCCCGCTAATTATGCTAGAAAATTGGATAATCTGAGTGTGCTATTATTTCAAGCTCATTAACCTGAGAAAGGAACATATAATTTGGTTTTGAGGCCTCTCCATACATATATACAAGGCAAATGACTAGAGCCAACTGGTAAGGGTCTGGCATAGCCCTAATTTTGACAAGCTACTCATAACCTATATATAGAAAAAAAGAACAGACGAATCATGTATATACCCTACAGAGGTTGGGTATGGGGAGTAGGATGTCTGCAGGACTTACCTTGACCCTAAAGGGTAGTGAGGTTGTATAATCTACACATATGAATAATCTCTAAACGGACGACCATGATGTTAAAGTACTCCAGTTTGATATCAGGTAACAGCATTTTGTTTGTAAATATCCCTCATTTTGTGAAAACTTAAGTTTAAGACAATGCGATCTTCATGACATTTAAGTATAGTAATATTCAATCCAGCAATATTATTCTGTTTATAATAACATTGAAAATCATAAAAGTTGGCATGAGTTGAAACAAAGATCTATGCTACAACATGCTTTTACTTGTACTTTTAAGACTTGCAAAACATATATAGATGCTCTCCTAAAGCACGTACCCTGTTGGAAGAAAAAACGAAAATACAGAGAAAAGTGAGAGAAAACTTATAAAACTGTGAGATCACGCAAGAGCTCGCTTTCCTTAAGTTGTATTTCAGCCCTTATTTGCATGGGTATCACTAAATCAACTCGAGGATCATCTCAGATATTGTGTAACGAATTCTGGCAAAATCGTTCCATTTTTAAACTTAGAGAATTGTAACCGGTCCTATATCAAATACAAGAATAATCCCCCATTAATCAAAATTGATGGAATAATTAGTGGGATGATAACTGCACAACAGTTCCAAAGTAATTGCTTACACGGATTAGAAGGCAACTCAGAAGCACTTAAAAGTCGGAAGCCCTCCAGAGTCAAAATCCATTCAGAGTCAAAAGCCACTCAGAGTCGGAAGCACTTCAGAATCAGAAGCTTCTGAACCAGATTCACAGGCTTCTGAATTTCACTTGGGACATTGAGTTCTACCCTTATTTGCATGGGTATCACGAAATCAACTCACAGATAATCTCAAATTTTTCTACCAATTCTGGCAAAATTCCATTGTTAAACTTAGAGAATTGTAACCACTCCTATATTAAATGCGAGAGTAACTCCCTATTTACGAAAATGATTGATGGAATAATTAGTGGGCGTATAATTGCACAACAATTACAAAGCAACTCCTTACACGGATCAGAAGACAACTCAGAAACACTTCAGAGTTAGAAGCCCTTCAAAGTAGGAATCTCTTTTAGAGTCGGAAGCCTCTGAGTCAGAAGCACTTCAAAATCTTTAATACCCCTCTGTTTAGCTAGCAATTTTATAAAAAGAGACCTTACTTATCAAGTTTCGGTTGACAAGTGAATTTAGGCAAATGAATACCCACTCCTCCACTAGCCATGTCAGTTCACACATCATACCCTAAGGGGATATCCCAAAAGGCCATTGATGAAAAGACATAGCATCAATGAGTAACCTAATAAAGGAAAAGGTTAGCGTACATCTTACCCCAGACCCTACTTCCGGGCGGGAGGGATATAGTAGGTTTCGTTTGGTTTGGTTTGAGATAGGTACTAAGGTGTCTTAGTTTATTGCTTGATATGTATGAGGTCAAGTCTTGCAAGGATTGTCACTTGCTCATTTTCACTTTTCTTTGTTTCTATCACCCACTATCATTCCTCTGAAGAGGACCCCCTCTTAATTTAAATGCCCAAAGGATTGATGCTCCTCCATCTCATAAAATTGTAATAATTGACTCTACATGCATATTAATATGAGTGTTTGGCCATCCGTCAAATGTCTATGATGACATTACCGATGGAAGGTGTTTGAAATAGTTAGCGATTTTCAATGTAAATAATGTGAACCAAGTTCAATGTCAGAAAGGCATACCATAAATGATAATTATGTCATGGGGCTAAGGGGGCTATGTGAACCAAATTCAATGTGAGAAAGCCATACCATTTCATTGACAAGTAAAGTGAAGGTTGCAACCACCCAATGGACGAATGTGTATCACAAGGAAAAGAAATAAAACAAGGCAGGGAAAGTAAAAGAATCTTAATTTAAAAGAATCATTATTGTCTAAAGCTCATTACTGGAACTACAAACATACCTCTAATAACATGTTAGTGGGAACGAGTCCCTTGTAATAGACATATGCCCCCAACATTGGACTACTCTGGAACTAGCATGTGTTGCTACAATTCCAAACTAGAATACAACCACTATTTTAAACTTCCTGATTTACAACTCTGTCGATTTCATATGCTTCCCATTTTCCATTGACACCTTCACTATTTTCTTTTTTCTCCTTTCTTTTATCATCCCTCAAGTCATCATTTGCAAACCAAGACATGGCTTCTGCATTTCCAATTCTGCCTTGTCTATTTGCAGCGGTTAAGGATTTTTTGCCCACGTGAAACTTCAATTGCACTGCATGTCTTCTTTCTAACACAACCTTTTTGCTACCTTCCTCAATATCAAGACCATTGCTCTTAAGCCCCTGAATTCCTGGAGCAAACGTCCCTAGTGCAGAAGCATGATTTGCCCATAAGCTATGATTTTGGGCGACCTCTTCTTCCACAAGTCTAGCAGGAAGAGAAACCAAAGAAACCTCCTTCTCCCCAGATTGTAGAGGAGATGCAAGAAAAGGATTATTCACTTGCTCCCTTACACCATTACGTCCAACTTCAACAACAACAGCCACTTGAGACCCATTGCAAGCCAAACATTGTTCTGATTTCAATAATAATGGCCCGATAACCATGTGATCTTGGTCCACTCCATCCTGCCTTCTTTCAGTTTGTTCTATATCGACTGTAGCTGGGATAGCATATGTCGTGGGATCAGGGAAACAAGGTAACCAAGGGGGGATATTATCCACTGGGGGGGTCTCTCCAGCATGAAAGAAACTCGGTATTGATTGTCGTTCTCTAATTACTGGGAAAGGAGGAACTGAATAGGCGAACCCCACTTCTTCAGACGCACCAACATACTGCGAAATATCTTTAATAATACCGGACCCTGACAAGCAATGACCTATATCAGAAGCACCAACAAACCCCTGTGACAGACCCAAATCTTCCAACCCACGAACTATATCAAACACATTACTCTCTGTCCTACCTGCTAAATTTGCACAGAAATTGGACGTCCTGCCTATGTCTTGAATATATTTGCAGGTTATATCAGATAATGTTTCAATTGCAGACTGCTGAAACCCCTGTAGACCTACACCTTCACATATTTGGGCCACTGCAACCCTTGCAAGTGACCGTGCAAATTCCTCATTCTTCCTCCTCTTCTTCAAACCAGATCCATTTCCTCTTGAACTCCCTCCACCTTCTCCATCGCTCATGTTAAAAACCTCATATCACTTCGTTTCCAACATATTGAAAATAAGAAAAAATGAAATCCAATTTCTTGAACCCACTAACAAAAGCCCTACTCCCTAAATCATTCATATAATCACTTCATCCATTCAATACAAAATCTTGAACTTATTGTATCGACATATCGACTACACCTTAAATTATTACGCACAAATGAATATAAATAATAAGCATTCGACACAACCAGTTGTTGAACTTACCAATAGTACGCATACGTTAGGGTTTCCGCGACGGGTACGCTGCGAAATGAGATTTCCAACAGCATGAAAAGCGAGGGAATTGATTGGGTGAAGTCACTCGATATCAAATGGGTTCCAGCAAAACCCCGGTTCGGGAGAAAGATGACCCGAGTTTCACTCTGAAAAGAGTCGATCGTCATTGGGTTCTATAGGATAGGAAGAGCGGACTGGCATTGCATCAACTTTTGAGATATTGATCTTTTAAAATGGTATATACAAAAATGTCATCAGCTGCTTCCGTAGCATAGTGGTAGTGCGTTCGCTTCGTAAGCGAAAGGTCGCGAGTTCGATCCTCGCCGGGAGCTTTTTTTATAAATCATTAATTTCCCTTTTTTCCAAACGGCTAATTATTATATTAAATTATGTAATTATATATTATTATTATAAATTTTGTTTGGATTCGATTGCTTTTATTCAACAGGGAGAATAAGAAAAATCAAAATATTAATTTACCTTTTATTTATTTATATTTAATTAAATGGTCAGAGGCTTTGAAAATAATAAAACAAAACGTCCGAAAAAAATCAAATATAAGTGGTAATTAAGAACTGAAAATAAAAAAACAAACAAGACTTTAGTTATCTCTTAAAACATGCATTTATGAAAACCTCTACAGACACACAGTAAAATAGGTGATATACATAATTGCTAGCTTCTTACTACATAGTCCGAATTAAGAATTAAAAACCCAACTAAATTATTGAAATATGTTGAATGTTAATGAAAGTACTAAGCATAAACATGAATAAATACTTGTGACTTTTAAAGTCCAATTACAAATTCTATATTCTTTGATTATAAGTTATTGTTGTTTTAATATATCAATAATATGAAACTTTGACCTAACACATTTTTCATTCGTATCAATACTTACGGTATTTTAGTTATTTGATTAAAAGTTAACTATTTGTAATCAAGAGTTGGGTTCCAATAAGAATGGGAGTTAAGGTGAGAAGTATAAGAAGTGATCCCCACCGTTGAATGCATATCAGAATGAGATGTATTAGATCAATTTTGATATCAAGCGTAATTCATAGATGAGTTTGAAATTAAAGGTGATCAAGCGTCCAGATCCCTTCGTACTGTTCTCACATTAACACTCTTTTTCACACGATCATTCGCCTTATAAACAAGTACTATATTTATTTTATAAAAAAACATATGGTATGTGTTTTGTTTTACGCCTCAAAAAGGTATGGATAGGCCCACATGGTGACCGCTTAAGAAGAGGGTATGTTGAATCCATCTTTACATGTTAATATCCTCTTTATACACGTTAACATCAAAAAAATTTCTTTTTACATTTTCAATGCACGATTTAAGTTGATTTTGATGTGTATAGGGTGCATAGCAACACCCTTCTTATCTTTGATCTCGATAATACATGAGACTAATCAAAACCAAATATACATGATCTGGAATTTGGATGATTTTCTGCTTCATAATTGATAGAAATTGTATGATATTTACTACACTACATGATTTATAAGACCTAGGATGTAGACGACTTGGTGATCGCAATGGACCAATCGTCAAAATTATGAGTAGATGTCGATCATGAGAAATTTCACTTGGATGCCTCCCAAAATCTGGCACTTCACTCTTTTCTATGCATTAAAACTTTATTTTCAATGCATAAATCAATATAAAACATATGGTTCCGTTTGGTATATGGGGCACGATGGGATAGGAAATGACAAAACTCACTGTCTTATGTTTGACGCAACATATGACAGAACAAAAATTAACCGTCACCCATTTGGGGCGACATGGATGGGTCCGATGGGACTAGGATCGGGTGGGACAAAAATGGACAAGAACGAGATATAAACAAAAAAAAAAGTATTAATACCACCACCACCAACGGTCACCAGCAACCACCGGTGGCCACCTCCACCATAACCACCATCGTCGCCATCTGCTATCACTACCACCAAACTTGGTACTGTTATATATGTATGTATTTATGTATATGAAAATTATGTTAAAATATTTATAAATTACTTTATTTAAATACTTACTTGATTTGTGTTAGCTATATATAACTATTTTATGATATATATAAAATCATCCAACAATTTTTAGGGACAACTTGTCTAACTTGTTCTGCCTAATTTTGTCCGGTCCAATCCCTTTCTTTTCTAGTCCAACCATATATGCAAACCAAATGACTATTTGTGTATCTAATGAACATTTATTCACAACGGACATAAAAAAGGATTGGATGTATTATAACCATGACAGTATCCATTTACCATCATAATAAGTATAGTTGTCAAATACGCATGATAGGTTTAAACGGATACAAATCTAATTCGCTTACCCTGCTAGGGATCTGAATGGTTATTGGATTTTTGAATTCCCGGCGTACGATCCCGCCTTGTTTTGTCGGCATAGCTGAAGAGCTGGAAAAAGAAAATGAGCCAAGGCAAATTAAAGATTCTATCCTCGAGAATATTACTAAAAGAGATGGGTATGCACATATATATATATATATACCTTGGCATCTCATTACAAGGGATCTGGTTTCTTGGATTGATGCAGTTGGGACATTGAGAACTCAAAAAGGGAGGGCATATACTTCTTGAATCTTCTCATCAAATGGTGTCTCCGTTGTTTATTTGAACAAAGTGATGGTTGAAACATCGTGCCTCTGTCAACAACAAATTGGGAAACATGAGAAGCAATTGAACCATTGGTTGCCACCAGCTTTAGGGGTTGTGGAGGGAGCTTCAGGTGTAGTTTCTGTCTCTGCTGCTCCTTTTGGTGTTACCGGTATCGATGGCATTGGCGGAGATCCTTCAGCATCTACCTTCGTTGGACTGCCACCTGCAAGTCTGAGAGTAGCGAACATGTATGTTACATTAAGGGCATGTTTGGTAGCAGTTTAATGAGCTTAATGGGACTCACAACTTATTTGGTCAGCTATACATGACTGTTTAGTAGTGGCTTAATGATATAGAAAATGGCTTATGCAATAAGCCTCTAGCCGGAGCTTTATGCAGAAAACCAAGTTTTTCTCTAGATCTGCCCCTCCCAATTAAAAAGCACACTCCTTCCATCTATGAAAAAACCCTCCCAAATAAAAAACCATCCCAATCTATACAGACAAGATTAATCCACACTGACAACTTATCCATATAGGACTTCATGGAAAACCAACCAAACAGCCCTTAAGTTGAGTCTACAAATGATGAATTATTGCTTGTAATTAAGGTTCAACTTACACAGGGAATGTGAATGAACTGGTTCTTTGGGCACTCCCATCAGAATTAAGAGGTTCCTCGGTAGGACTTGCTCCTTTCTCGTCTGGAACATTAAGACTGGGACTGGGCAATTGTAGCCCCTTCTGAGAAGGAGAGCTTTCATCTTCACTTTCAGAATCAATTGGCAATGCTTTACGGGTTTCAAGGAGCTCCTCTTTCTCTCCAGATTCCCCATTTGAACTCCCACTCATCCGTTCATTGTCTGCTGCCTTTTCCACCATCGTTGGTAGACTAGGGCACCTGCTGGTGAAATCGCTGGACTTATTGGCATCGGGTGTATAACATGAATAGTTGAGCCCATCATCAAGCCAGATAAGTTTTCCAGACTCGCTTATAAAAAAACCATTATCCAACGAGAAGCTATTATTTCCCTTTTGGATACTGAATAATGATTCATCAGAAGCTAAACTCCATTCTGAATCATTCGTCTCTTTTGGAGTGAAGATGGATGATGGAATCCTGTTTGGATCATAGCCAGAAGGTTGCCTCATCACTTGGATCGGAGGAGATTGTCTTGGAGATGCATTTAATGTATTCAAATCCAAAGTCTCTGTGGTCGATATTGCTCCTCTTGCCTGCGGTGATGCACTTAACATGCTCGATTCAGGTGTGGTACTTGGGGATTTGGGATTTGATCTTGGTGAGCTAGAACCATTTTCTTCAAATTCTGTGTATAACATGTCATTTTCACCATCATCTACTTCCAATTCATATGAAATCCAAAAGGAAGAGGAAGAAGAGAAGGAAGAGGAAGAAGCACGGCCAATAATTTTGTCATGATCAATTGGGTCCTCGTCTATGATGCTGCTAGGAACATCAAACTCCAAATTTGGATGCTCACTGCTACCACCCCCGATCTTTTGTTCCATTTTGTTTTGTTCAACATATCGTTATAAGGATTTCTGCCATCTCCGATAACTAGTATCTAATGCTGTAAAAGTGAAAAGTCATATAGTAAGAATTTAAAGATGAGGTTCAGATAACATCAACTGTTACTCCAGGGAGTGACAGCTTTCTAAATACGGTTGATGCAAATAACCCAAACGTAATTATGTTAATGCATTTCAGCATTTCGTATCAGTCCATGAGTGAGATAGAAGAAACCTACTCTTACAGTATGCTAACATAGTGTTTTATTGGGATCTGATGGATTCCACTATTGACGAAAACAAGATGAAAAAGGAATCCGAATTGTGGTGGCTGAGGTTTGTATACTTCTTTTCTCAAATTAAGTTACTGCTAGTTAAATAAATTAAGATGTTTACAGATTCATACGTGAGGAAACAGATTCAAGGAAGTTCTTACGATAATGATTCACCAAACGTATCAGCTGGCCAAGGACTAATTATGTTTCTATAAGTTGCGTCTTAATAAGGGAATTTAATGATTCAATGATGATCATATGCTTTAGAACTTTAAAATTGACGAATGACATGGAAATCGTGGTTTCATAGCAACGATTTACAGTTCCTACAATTGCATTTTTAACAAATAGCTCTCATGAACGTCAGAATTTGCTGACAAAAATGTTGAATTTTGCTAAAATCATGCTTGATTGAAAAGTTTCGAAATTCATGTATCCATCATTCATATGAGATGAATGATGATTCATATAAAACAATAAAAATAAGATCATAAAATTCCGAGTAACTGAACTTACTTGAACATTCCCCATATATGTCGAACCTTATAGGTTAAGATCGCCGGTAGCACCAATGTTGCCCTAAGCATTAAAACCTCCGGGGACGAGATAAATAAAGGGGAAAAAATATTGTAAAGAGGGGAACATGAGATTAGGGTTAGGGTTTGATGATTGAATAACAGAAGGTTGAGCGTCTATTTAGGGAAACGCTGATCTGTGTTTCTTTTCCTATTTTCCAATTTTACAGACGCGGGAAGTTCTTTATTCGACAGGTACTAGTGTTCTTCAGGAAGTTTGGGGATGGTTTGTGGAATATATTGAAAACTAAGGGGGTAAAATTAAAAATATAGAAAGCTATACAAAGGTGGTTCACCATTCAAGTGTCTTTCATATATATACATATATAGCCATGGAAGCAGTTAAGCAGCTGCGCAGGAACAGCTTTTCAGTTATGGAGCTCAAGTTTTCACAAGTCGTTTTGTTATCATAATCCTTGTTTCAGATCAAGTGCATGTAACGAGTCGAGTAGCAGCTTGTTTGAACTCGACTTGAGAAAATAATATCTCGATGTAGTGGACCAAAACCCGAAGTCCAACAACTTTTGTCATTGTTTTATGGACAACATAAATTTTGCAAGTTGACAAAGGGAGCGATACTCGCCTACCATATACTTGCAACTGGTCCCTTGGGCAAACGTTTTCTTATGGAAATGACTACAGGATTAATTGAAGAAAAATAAATCTCATGATAAAGTAGTGAAATAAATTATTTAAGAACAAGTGCTCACTTGTACATTCCAATTGTCACGTTCCTTAGGATTAATACCATTTTTCATTAAACTCGATCTATCATGATCACCTTTATCCAATCGACCTTCCAACATTGAAACGATAGTTTTTTTAAAATATCTTTATAAAAACTTGCATGTTTATTTTCACGCAAAATAATGAAATTGTTTTACTTCTGAGATGAAGTTTGAAGATATGGCAAAAGAAGTGGAAGAAGCACCAACATGTTTGAGACGGATATATAGGTTTTCCTTAAAGTGTGAAAATTGTTTGAAGGAAATAAAATAGTTTTGAGAAATTGATAATATTTTTATCTTTAAATAAAATTTAAATTTTAAGAAATATTATAAAAATTTTAAAAAATATATTGATATTAGTGAAATTAATTATTTAAAATTTCTCATTTCTT